CCCCCCCAAATCCCCCCGGGGACCCCCCAATCCCCCCGGGGACCCCCAAATCCCCCCAGAAGATTCACAAATCCCCCAATGAGCAAGGAGTGATAAAATTCTTTTTTATTCCATCTTTTCTCCCTGATTTTCCCATTTCTACATTTTCTATTTTTCCTGTTTCCCGTTTTTTCCCCTCTATTTCTCCCCTATTTTCCCCCTATTTTTCCTCTATTTTCTCTCAATTTCCCATCCTCCCATTTCTCCCCATTTTTTTCCCATTTTCCCCTCTTCTTTTTTCCCAATTTTAACCCCATTTCCATTTGGGGTTTTTGTCCCCAGTTCCCAAAAATCCCTCCCTGAAATCCCAAACAATTCCCCATTTTCCAGGAATTCCCCCCCGTGGCCAAGAACTGCAACTCCCGGCTCCTTTTTCCCCCCAAAATTCCATTTTGGGGTCGCTTTATTGAGGATCTTTGGTGAAATCAAAGTGCAAAAAAAACCAGCAAAGAGCTGAGGCCAGACTGGGAGTGCACTGGGAGCACTGGGAGCGCACTGGGAGCACTGGGAGCGCACTGGGGCCTCGCTGGGTCTGTACTGGGAGCACTGGGAGCGCACTGGGGCCATACTGGGATTGCTGGGGCCGCACTGGGAGCTGCAGTGGGGCTGTACTGGGAGCACTGGGAGCGCACTGGGCACTCAGGGCTCCCCGTCCCCGTTCCCAGTTCCGTACTGGGAGCACTGGGAGCGCACTGGGCGCTCAGGGCTCCCCGTCCCCGTTCCCAGTTCCGTACTGGGAGCACTGGGCCGCACTGGGGCCGTCGCCGTCGCCGTCCCCGCCCCGCACGAGCAGCACCGGCCCCAGGCCCTCGGTCAGAACCTCCAGGAACTCCAGGTCTGGGGGAGTCAAGGCCTGACCAGTGCTCCCAGTGACCACCAGTAACCGCCCAGTGACCACCAGGAACCTCCCAGTGACCCCCAGTAACCTCCCAGTGACCACCAGTAACCTCCCAGTGACCCCCAGTAACCTCCCAGTGACCACCAGTAACCTCCCAGTGACCCCCAGTAACCTCCCAGTGACCACCAGTAACCTCCCAGTGACCCCCAGTAACCTCCCAGTGACCACCAGTAACCTCCCAGTGACCCCCAGTAACCTCCCAGTGACCACCAGTAACCCCCAGTGACGCCCAGCACCCTCCCAGTTTCCCCATTTCACCCTTTTCCCGCTCTTTTCCCCCATTCCCCATTTCCCATCCCCACGTTATTCCCGTTTTTCCCCATTCCCATTTCCCCCAGTTTTTGTTTTTCCCCAATTTCCCATCCCCCCATTCCCGTTTTTCCCGTTTTTCCCCCATTTTTGGATACAGTTCTCCAGGGCTGTTTCCCCGTTATTCCCGGTTTTCCCCATTCCCGTTTTTCCCGTTTTTCCCCATTTTTGGATACAGTTCTCCAGGGGCCGGGCGGGCCGGGGTGGGGGAGGGGGGGGCAGGTCCAGCAGCACCAGCCCAGCCCCCCCCGAGTGGGCGCCGATGGCGGCGTTGAGGCGCTCGGCCGCGTGCATGCGCCGGACGTTCCCCCTGCCCGACAGACCAGTACGGACCAGTATAAACCAGTATGGACCAGTACGGACCAGTATAAACCAGTATGGACCAGTACGGACCAGTATAAACCAGTATGGACCAGTACGGACCAGTATAAACCAGTATGGACCAGTACGGACCAGTATAAACCAGTATGGACCAGTACGGACCAGTATAAACCAGTATGGACCAGTACGGACCAGTATAAACCAGTATGGACCAGTACGGACCAGTATAAACCAGTATGGACCAGTACGGACCAGTATAAACCAGTCCCCCCCAGTCCCCCCCAGTCCCTCCCAGTGCTCCCAGTGCCACTCACGGACTGGGGCCCCTCCGGGGGTCTCCTCCCCCCTCCTCCTCCTCAGCGCTGGGCGGGTGCGAGGGGGCGGGGCCTCCCTGTGACATCACCAGAGAGGAAATGACGTCACGACGATGACCGTGATGTCACGTATGGACAATGGCGATGACGTCACAGGGATGGCACCCCAGGGATGATGTGTGACGTCACAGGGTGTGTAGTGATGTCATAATGAAGAAGGTGACGTCAGAGGGTGTGTTGTGATGTCATGAGGAAGAAGATGACGTCACAGGGCGTGTAGTGATGTCATAATGAAGAAGGTGACGTCACCTGGGCGCGGCGCAGCTGCCGCAGCATCTGAGAGCGCTGCTCCATCATCAGCGTCCGCTCGTAGGTGTAGGCTGAGACATCCCCGTCGTGCTGCGGCCAGTGAGAACCAGTATGAACCAGTATGAACCAGTATGAACCAGTAGGAACCAGTATGAACCAGTATGAACCAGTATGAACCAGTATGAACCGGTATAAACCAGTGTAAAACGGTATAAACCAGTATGAACCAGTATAAACCACTACAAACCAGTACGGACTGGTGCAGACCAGTATGAACCAGTATAAACCAGTATGGACTGGGCTATTTGGGGTGTTTTTGGGGTATCCCAGGTGTTTTTGGGGTGTCTCAGGTGTATTTTGGGGTGTCTCAGGTGTATTTTGGGGCATCCCAGGTGTATTTTGGGGTGTCTCAGGTGTATTTTGGGGTGTCTCAGGTGTTTTTGGGGTATCCCAGGTGTATTTTGGGGTGTTTCTGGTGTATTTTGGGGTGTCTCAGGTGTTTTTGGGGTATCCCAGGTGTATTTTGGGGTGTCTCAGGTGTATTTTGGGGTATCCCAGGTGTTTTTGGGGTGTCTCAGGTGTATTTTGGGGTGTCTCAGGTGTTTTTGGGGTGTTTTTGGCTCTCACCAGCTCCACCACGTGCACCTGTGCCGGCAGCGCCCGGCGCCGCGCCACGGCCTCGAGCAGGCGCCGCAGCCGCTCGCTGTTGTCCTCCAGCAGCGCCACCGTGAACAGGCGCAGGGGACACCCGCGCCACACCTGGGGGGACACGGGCGGTGAGACCCCTCCCCAAAACCCCCCGACCCCCAAAATCCACCGTGAACAGACACAGGTGACACACCTGGGGGGACACGGGTGGTGAGACCCCTCCCCAAAACCCATCCGTGCCACACCTGGGGGGGACTCGGGGGACATCAGGGTCACGGGGGGGTCACGGGGGGTCACGGGGGGGTCACAGGAGGTCACGGGGGTGGCACGGGGGGGTCACAGGGCTCAGACCCCTCCTCCACCCAAGCCCCCCC